TAAAGTTAAAGCATCGCTTTCACTTTAAGGACTTTGCTGACCACCATCTACCCACCCACACATATTCTACCACTAACAAACTGTACCCTTTCTGACTTTGTGCTCCCACCTGCCATCAGCTTCTAAAGAAACATTTTACTTCACGGTATTTGTGTCCCTGTAGAGTCCTGCACTACTCTAGAGCTCAAAGAAAAGAACATGTCTCTTTCATTTTATTCCGGCCTTAGACAAAAGCCTGGAACAAGTAAGTGCTCAATATTATTTAACTGTTAATAAAACATGTTTTAACAGGAGACTTGACAGAAAATATGACTTTGAAAACTTTATCCACATGAATTATGCTCCTTTTTTTTTTTGTCAAACAGAGTCTTGCTCTGTCACTCAGGCTCGACTGCAGTGGCATGATCATAGGTCACTGCAGTCTTGAACTCCTAGGCTCAAGTGATCCTCCCTCCTCAGCCTCTCAAGTAGCTGGGACTATAGTTGTGCTCCACCATGCCTGACTAATTTAAAATTATTTTTTAGACATGAGGTCTCACCAAGTTGTCCAGGTTGGTCTTGAACTCCTGGACTCAAGTAATCCTCCCACCCGGCCTTAATTATTAATAGTTAGACATTATTTACATTGAAAGTAAATGTTGATATGTTAAGGAATAAATGTGCCATTTTATTATTTAGTTTATGTTTGGTGATTCCACCTTTTGTCCTGTAGTCCTAGCTACTTGAGAGGCTGAGGTAGAGGATCGCTTGAGCTTGGGAGGAGGTCAAGGCTGCAGTGAGCTGTGATAGTGTGACTGCTCTCCTGGGTGAGAGAGCAAGACTGCCTCAAAATATAAAAATTAAAAGAGAGATATATTCAAGATTACTATTGATGTATCAAAATGGAATTTTAAAAAATGTTCAAGTAGCTCACCAAAAGGTAAGAGGCAGGCAATAGAAGGACAAAAGGTGGAATCAGCAAACATAAACTAAATAATAAAATGGCACATTTATTCCTTGACATATCAACATTTACTTTCAATGTAAATAATGTCTAACTATTAATAATTAAGGCCGGGTGCAGTGGCTCACAGCCGAGCTCAGTGGCTCACAACTGGGCGCGGTGGCTCACGCCTGTAATCCCAGCACTTTGGGAGGCTGAGATGGGTGGATTGCCTGAGGTCAGGAGTTCGAGACCAGCCTGCCCAACATGGTGAAACCCTGTCTCTACTAAAAAATACAAAAATTAGCTGGGCATGGTGGCGGGCTCCTGTAATCCCAGCTACTTGGGAGGCTGAGGCACGAGAATTGCTTGAACTGGGAGGCACAGGTGGCAGTGAATCTAGATCAAGCCACTGCACTCCAGCCTGGGCAACAGAGCAAGACTGCATCTAAAAAAAAAAAAAAAAAAAAAAAAAAAAAAAAAAAAAAAAAAAAAAAACATGCCCCACCCTTTTAAACAAAAAAATAAAAAAAAAAAAAAAAAAAAAAAAAAAAAAAAAAAAAAAAAAAAATGGAATGGCCAGGCATGGTGGTTCACATCTGTAATCCCAGCACTTTGGGAGGCCAATGTGGATGGATCACCTGAAGTCAGGAGTTCGAGGCCAGTCTGGCCAACATGGTGAAACTTCGTCTCTACTAAAAATACAAAATTAGCCAGGTGTGGTGGCAGGCACCTGTAATGTGAGCTACTCAGGAGGCTAAGGCAGGAGAATCTCTTCAACCCAGGAGAGGGAGGTCGCAGTGAGCCAAGCTCACGCCACTGCTCTCCAGCCTGGGCGACAAGAGTAAAACTCCATCTCAAAAAAACCACAAAAAAACAACAAAACAAGTAATTAATTAAAACACGCATAGACAGAACTGGTGAAAAAACAGATGACCCAACTACATGCAATCTCCATGAAACTCACTTCAAGGAAATGACATATGCAGGCTACAAATAAAAGAAGAGAAAATGACAATTATATAAACATTAAAAAACAGGTGCTTGCTTCCGCAGCACATATACTAAAATTGGAACGATACAGAGAAGATCAGCATGGCCCCTGTGTAAGGATGACATGCAAATTCATGAAGCGTTCCATATTTTCTTCTGTTTTCTAATGTCCTAAACTGAGGAAACTGAGGCTCCTGTAAGTGAAGTCACTGAACCCGTTAAGTAATATTCCTAATTCCAACCACATTCCCACCTCCTCCTCCAAAAAGAAAAAAGAAAAAAAAGGGAATGGCTAGGTTATATTAATAACACATAAAGTAGACTACAGAGCAAAGAAAATTACTAGGGACTAGGAGTGACATTATGTAATCAGAAAAGGATCTATTAACCAAAAAGACATGGTGACCCTAAATGTATAAGCACCAAACAACACTATCAAAATACATAAAAACTAATCAGGCTGATGCAGGGCGTGGTGACTCATGCCTATAATCCCAGCAACTTTGGGTGGCTGAGGCAGGGAGCTTGAGACCAACCTGCAATCCCAGCTACTCAGGAGGCTGAGGCAGAATTGCTTGAACTCGGGAGATGGAGGTTGCAGTGAGCCAAGACCGTGACATTGCACTTCAGCCTCAGGGAAACAGCAAGACCATGTCTCAACAAACAAAAAACTGATCTGGCTAAAAGGAGAAATAGATAATTCTGTATGGGTAGTTTCCTGAGGTTAGTAGATTTTTATGGTTGTCTTGGGCAGATGCTATAAGCAAAAAGAGCAAAGCACATTCAAAGAAAGAAAAATAGAAATCATAAAGATAAAACCATACATCAATAAAATAGAAAACCAAAAAAACACAGAAACAAAAAGCTAGTTCTTAAAAAAATAGCAATGAATTTGATAAACTTCTAGCAAGACTGACAAAGATTAAAAAGATAGAAGACATAAATCACCACTATGAGGAATCAAACTGAAAATATCATTATATATCTTGCAGTTATTAAAAAGATAATTAAGGAAATAGTACAAAAACTTTATGTTCACAAATTCAACAACATGGAAGAAGTGAACAAATTCCTCTAAATTCAGAAACCACCCAAAACGCAATCAAGATGAAACAGATACTCTGAATAGCTCCATAACCATTAAAGAAACTGAATGTATAGTTAGGAGATCCTCCCCCAAGTATCTCCAGGCTTGAACAGTTTTATTGGAAACTTCTACCAAATATTTAAATAAAAATTAACATCAATTCTGAGCTTAGATGCAAAAATCCTCAATAAAATATTAGCAAATAAAATTCAACAATGTATAAGAAGAATTATATACTGTGACCAAGTGGGATTTATTCAGGCATGCAAGGTTTGTTCAACCATTGAAAACTAATCAATGTAATCCACCATATAAAAAGGATAAAGAAGAAAATCTTATGATGATATAAATTGACACAGAAAAAGCATTTGATAAAATCTACCCACCCATTCATGATAAAAATTAAAAAATCAATCTTTCAGTATATTAGTATAGAGGGAAATATCGTTTTTTTTTTTTTAAGAGATGGAGTCTTGTAGCCCAGCTTAAGGTACAGTGATTCAATCATAGCTCACAGTAGCCTTGCTCAACTGGGCTAAGTGATCCTCCTGCCTCAGCTTCCCAAGTATCTGGGACCACAGGCATGCACCACCATGCTCGGCTAATTTTTATTTTCTTTCAAGATGGAGTTTCACTTTTTTGCCCAGGCTGGAGTGCAATGGCATGATCTCAGCTCACTTCAACCTACACCCCCTGGGTTCAAGTGATTCTTCTCCCTAAGCCTCCCGAGTAGCTGGGATTACAGGCGTGCACCACCAAGCCCAGCTAATTTTTGTATTTTTAGTAGACACGGGGTTTCACCATGTTGGTCAGGCTGGTCTCGAACTCCTGACCTTAAGCAATTCTCCCACTTCAGCCTCCCAAAGTGGTGAGGTTACAGGTGTGTGGGGAAGAGATGAGGATTCACCATGTTGCCCAGGCTGGTCCTGAGCTCAGGCAATCTATCCACCTCAGTGTCCCAAATTGCTGGGATTATAGTTATGAGCCACCTCGCCTGGCAGAATTCTAAATGTATTGCTAATTTTGGTTCATGTTGCTATTTGTTGTGATTAGTTTTTGGAGGAAAAAACCCGTGTCTCGGGCCTACTGCTTTATACGAACACTTAACTATCCAATGATATACTCATACAGGCTGTGGGCCCTGTATGGTGAACCACCCAAGAAATCAGCTCCTTTTTGGAAGAAAGGACCATATGGAATATATCTTTCCTATCTTGTTAGGGCTTATAGAGAAGAACATTTGTACTTTGACAGAGACGAACGTGAATAAGTATGGCAGATTCAAGGCATAAGATGTAATTGTCCTTACTTCATCAGTTACCCTAGTATAAATGTTTGCAGATTTGTCTTTTTTTTACTCATAAATTCTATTTTTATATTAAAAGAATCTATAATCTGAGACTGAACTTACTTTTTTAGTCATCTATATTTTGATCTTTTTTATTTTATATATATATGCAAAAGTAGAGTTGTCAAATATATCCTTTTTAAATTTTATGTCTTTGGGATTGGGGTGATATTTAAAAAGGTCTTTCCATCTCTCAGATTATAAATGCAAAATATTATATAGTATCATCATGTAACCAAATCCTCAATAGACTGTACTTTATATTACTCATTCAAACAAAGGCTTAAAAGGGCACTGTAAACCACTGATTGTTAACAAGGGACGATTTTGTCACCCAGGAGCATTTGGCTTTGCCTGGAAACAATTTTGGTCAACACGACTGGGGATGTGCTACTGACATCTAGTGGGTAGAAGCCAGTAATACTGCTAAACCTCCTACAACGCACAGGGTAGCCCCTTCCCCCTACCTCAACAAAGAATGGTCCAGCCAAAAATGTCAATATGGATGAGGTTGAGAAGATCTGCCACGAACCATTTCTCCTCTGTGACTGTTCAGATCCCCACTGTTTCAGGATCTGTATATCATAGAACATTGAAAAGAGAGTTGGGAAAGAAAGAAAAAAGCAGGAACTGGATAAAGAAATTTTGGTAAATTGGAGAAAATCCTTTTATTATTTGTACTGTCCTTAATTCAGTACCTCTAATTCAGCTCCCAAAACTCAAATTTAACAAACACCATTTTAGAGAATACATCAGAAAAACGAAAAGAAAAAGTCCTGACAAACACTGGCATACTTCCTAAGGGACAAAAGCATGAAGAAGAGACTAATTATTATGTAAATGCCTTTATTTGAACTACTACATTGCTATCAGATTACATCACTTTTCAGAGTTAGAGTAACATAATACCTTGGAAACTATAGCAAACAGCTTGACAAAGCAAGAGTACATTAAGTCCTACATATATACTTTTATTTTTAGTGACCACATTTCTCTGTTTTAGGTGTAAAATTTAAAAATATATTGTACACTTAGCGTACTTGGCCTACCAAATCCTAAATTCTGAGCATACTCTCTCCTCAAAAGTATCATATTCAACAGCATTTTTAATTTAAAGAGAGAGTTTGATGATACAGGTTTTAAAACAAATAAGCATGTATTGAACCAAGTGACAAAATATTTCAATTGTTTACAGCTTACGTATGGGAGGGAAAGATGCAAATTGAAGGTACATTTTTCTTCTAGCTATAATGTATGTTTTACTTACTTGGAGACCCCTTAAAAAAAGTAGCAAAATCAGCAGTCTTGTTTAATGTAATCAAAATATTCTTAAATGTACAAAAAAGGATCATATAGAAAGAATACTGTAAAAAGATACTGATCTTAAAAATAAAAGAATAAGAAAAGCTTCTTCTCTTACATTCTGCACAGCCAGTTACTTCGGCAAATTTTCAGTACTACAAAGATAAGCAAAGGATACTCATATCCAAATACCCTCTGACCATAGTTCTCAAATAAGAACTAGCATACTGGATGGAAAGCAAAATTACTGTCTAATAATATTCATATCACATCATCTAAGTGAGTCCCAAGAGAGGGACATTCTAAGAGGGCAAAAGATAACAGAGCGAGAAATAACATACGGCAATGGGAAATGTCAAGGGCAGCATTCTAGGAGAGAGTAAAATGTTTTGGCTATGAGCACATTTCAGGCGTGCCTGAAAAATCCAACTCTGACTATGGGAAAGAGGAATTGTTTTGATTAAAACCCTTTCCCCTGAGGGCTCTCATGCTGAGCTAGTCTTGTTAATCAAAATGAAAAGTTCTTTGAATGGCCAAGAGTTCCTTAAGCCATAAGCACTTCACCTGGAAATAGCTGACCTGTGAATCATGCACCTGGGAGCAAGGCTGTTTTATTCAGATTGGTTATTTTACACTCTCTTCATTCCCCTGCCCATCAAACATGCAAAAACAGTCATGACCATCTTGGGCTTTACTTCCACAAGGTCTTCAGGAAGAGCGTACACTCTGGCTCCGATTCTTCTAGCCATTGACACTGCATACCTATTTTAGGGGGAAACAAAAATCAGGATGAAATTCTTGTCAGTTAAGGACATCACATAAGACATCTATTTCTTCATATATGATTATTATGCTGTGATGCAAAGATTCCATATTGATAGTTCCAATTAGAATAGTTTTGCTTTTTCTTTTCTTTTGATTTTGGTTTTGATTTCATTTGTTACAGTAGGTTTTTAAGCTCTACTATTTGGAGCCAATAATATTTATTCACTCTTTTGCTCCAATGTGAGGAGAGAATTAAGCTGGAAGCACCGACTTTATATACATAATTACCTAGGCTGTCTATGCGATCAATGTTGGTATTCAGATTGCACAAATAATAACATACACTCATGTCATCTTAGAGATATGAGGTGAAAAATCATGCAAGATGCAAAACCCAAGTTGTTAGGCAGATACAATGAATACTTCCAAATATTCACGAGAAGGGAGACAGTCTACATGTGGTACATGGAGAGGGTGGCTGGAGCAAAAACTAGAAAAGGTAGACAAAGGAAGGGACAGAAGAACTAAGATGTCCAGGTAGGGAAATTTTCAGGAACACATCTCAACTAATCCATGAAGCATTTTTAGGTGTGTTGGAACCAGAATCTTTAAAGATGATTAAACCATCGAGTTTCTAGAAAAAGAGGTTTCAAGAGCTCTTCATACATTTTAAATATTAGAACTTTATCATATCTGCTAGAAATATTTTTAAAGGAAAAATAAATAATGTGCCTAACTCCAAAGTTTTTCAAGAATGCTTCTTAGTTGTTCTATAATACAGGGCTGTGGATGGATTTTCAGTGTCTAATTAGTAAAGTTTTCATGGGTCACCCATGAAGCCAGGTCACACTCTAGGTGTTTGGTGAAGAAGAAAAAAGGCTGGTAGAAAAGACCTAAATATTGTTGAAATGCAAGAAACTTTCAAGGCATAGTCTTCTGTGGAGGCCTAGCAAGCATTCTGTTAATATGGGAACTGAGGAAGATAAATTCAACAAATGTAATAAGAATGATCTATGTATAGTAAAAGAGACATAAGTGGATAATGTGTTTTTTAAAAAAGAATGAGATAGACAGATGAACACCCTAAGCTCATTTTTTCCTTGTTGTAAAGTTTTACTTAATTTGCATTCAAATATATGCTACATAATTTCTGTAATCCACCGAAGCAATATTTTACTAAGCACCTAGTAGGCCAAGCACATGGCTAGGCTCTTATAATTTTTTAAAAATTTAATCTTTATAAAATTTCAAAGGTAAGTATTATTGCCCCCAGTTTACTGCTGAGGAATCTGAGGCTCCAAGAGGTTTCCACCACGGTGACGTAACTCTTAAATGGCAGCACCTGAATTAGAGTTCAGATCCATCTAGCTGCAAAGCTGTGTTTTTTTCATACTACTATGCAGTCGCCCTTACTTGGCATTATTGTGCTTGTCATCTTCTGTTAGATTGCCACTCTTCACAAGGTCATAGTTTATACAGCCTGGCTGGATGGCATCAATTAAATCCACAACTGCCAAACTGGAGCTGATCGTTTTGTCCTAGTGTGAAAGGAGAACAAATCTTAGAATTTTGATACATACAGATTAACATGTGCTTACTTATATCAAGTGCCAAAAACAAAGCCCAGTGAATTCATAAAGAATCATGCCATTAGCCCAACAATAATTCTCACTCACAAAGAAACCAAAGGTCGCCTTCCCAAATGATAGATATTACCCAGAAAACATAATATTTAATAGTCACATATGGATTCTGACCTTAAAACTCTGAATGGAAGTTGATTTTCCAGCTTCACTCAACGTTCTGTTCACCCAGTTCACAATGATGTCGTCATTGGCTTTCTGACCATCTCCAAGATCTTCCAGGACATTGAGGGTATATCTAAGAGAAGCAGCAGCAGAAAATATCATAATCTACTTTATGAGGAAAAATGCAAACATCAGAAAGATGCTTTATCTTCCATTTTTTATATTCCTTTGATTTCAAAGACTAAAGAGTTCATGGAAAGAGATTCACACTCTGTGAAAAAAATATTTCAAGCAGTAGTGGCTTGCTACTGATCTACCCTTTGTAGTGGTGAGAGGAGAGCAGACTGACAGTGCTTTAATGAGCAGGTTCAACAGCCTACTGCAGGCACATTTTGTACTATTCCAGTAGTGGTAATGGCATAAAATAAACTGTGCTTTGGCTGGTACCCAGTCATAATGAATGCATTTCAGCATTATGGTGATCTTCATCAGCATTACAGAGAGATCTTCATTTTCAAATGAGCATGAGGATGTTCATAATTTTGTTCTGACAATTTTTTTATTCACTGACACGTTAAATGAGGCCAAAAATCTACATGTCAGGCTTCCTATTTTTTTAAAAAAGGACTAGCTATAGTTCTGCTGCCTAACTTGGAAGGAAGCATCCAAATATATTAATTAAACTCATTGCGGAGTATAAATACAACATATTTCAAAAGTGTAGTCACTGACATGTTCACTTATTAAACATAGTAAGGACTAAATCACAGACCTGTATGACAGTAAAGCTTAAACGACTAAAATTGTATACTATACCTTCTCATCAGCTGCCAGACTAAAGCTAAAGTCAGGGTTTGGTTCCCATCATTCAGGTCTTGCCCTCCAATGCCAACCAGAGAAAATTTAGCAGGGTGCTTCCCTAATTCAACAGCATAGTTGCAGTTTTCTAGCTGCAAAGGCACAAGAGTAAATGGTTAAAGATTTCCATTTGTTTAATCTGCATACGTGTGTGTATGTCTTGTAAATGCTAGGTTATCAGTACACAAAAACAAAGAAGACACAGTTTTTGTCCTCAAGAAGCTCCGAGTCAAGAGTTTTAGAAACAAAAGAAACAAATCGACAATAAAAATACTCTAACATACACAGCAACTTAATTATCTACCTTTTTCATGTTGGCTCCCAGTTTCGGGTATGGAGGCTTATTAACCTTATTCCAGTCAACAGGAACTTTAATTCGTTCATATAACTGTAAGATTACCAGAGCATCTTGCAGGTCACTAATGATTTAAAAATAATGTAATCAGTGTTTTCAGGAAGCTGGGATTTGACTTGCCTTAGAAACAGTAACACTACATTGTCAAACAAGATATATAAAACAATAAATAATACCCAAGGCTCATATTTTCTATCAATCTGTGCTGAAAACAGAGCTAAGACCATCCACTTCATTTATAAGTATTTATTGAGAGTTTACTGTGAGCAAGGCACTGTTCTAGAGGCTGGGCCCACAGGACAAAAATCCCTGTCCTTACATTAGAGTCAGAGAGCTAGACAATAAACAAGTACATGGATAAACAATACGATTTTGGGGGTGTATGTAAGTGCTATGAAGAAAAAATAGGGTTAGGTGTTAGAGAGTAGCAGGTGGTAGTCAGGAAATCTTTGAATCAGTGACTGGAATACAGTAAGGGTATGAGCCATTATATGTGAGCAAACAACGTTCTAGCTGGAGAGAACTGTGAGCCAAAGTCCCTGAGTGTTGCAAATGGTCTACTTAAAGGGCTCCCCAGTCTCTGTTTCTTTTTTGCCTTTCTTTTTTTTCCCCTTAGAAATAGGATCTTGCTTTGTTGCAACAACCATAGCTCACTGAAGCCTCAAACTCCTGGGCTCAAGCAACACTCTCACCTCAGCCTCCAGAATGGCTATTTCAAAATATAAACTATTTGCTCCCTAGGGTACTATAAAGACATTTATACATTCTATCACTTACAGTTAATGATCATATAAAGAAATAACTTCGGCTTTTGTGTGTTTGGAAAATGATGATGGAAATCACTACTCAACATATTCCAATATAAATAACTGCTACAAATTAATATCTAGAAAGTCTTTAGAGCTGTCATTATTTGTGTAACATCCACTCATGACATTCATAACCATTTACAATAGCAGTAGGAAGGCTTACGCATAGAGATGGTTTACATGGGGATTGACACCAAGAGAATTCATCCAGTTACGGAAGGTTCTTTCTTCACGAGTTTCTCCTGTTAAGAATATTCACACACTTTACTGATTTATTAAACACTTTATGTATGTGCGTATAGTGCCAATCCACATATTAGATTATTTTATCTCTCTATTCAGATCTAGAAGCTTTCAATAATACAAGTTTCTAAGCATTCTCTTAAATACATACATTCTCTCTAGATACAGGCTTATTTTTAAAATTTGAACTTTATTTATTTATTTTTGAGATGGAGTCTCAATCTGTCACCCAGGCTGGAGTACAGTGGCACAATCTCGGCTTACTGCAACCTCTGCCTCTGGGATTCAAGAGATTCTTCTGCCTCAGCCTCCTGAGTAGCTGGGATTACAGGCGGCCACCACCACGTCCAGCTAATTTTTTATTTTTAGTAGAGACAGGGCTTCACCATGTTGGCCAGGCTAGTCTCAAACTCCTGACCTTGTGATCTGCCCACCTTGTCCTCCCAAAGTGCTGGGATTATAGGCATAAGCCACCGTGCCTGGCCTGAACTTATTTTAAAATTAAAGAATACAACCTTATTCTAACCAGTTAAGTAACTTAAAGGTTTATGAAGATTTGAGTCTCCTTCTCAAATCCTTCTCCAATATTTCCTCAAATCTGCATTCCTCAAAGTAACTGATGTTATCAGTTTAGTTAATGGTTTTATAGAAATATCAGTGGACACTCTTTGCATTTCTTAATTTTTTTATTTTCTGAGACAAAGTTTCGTTCTTGTTGCCCAAACGGGAGTGCAATGGCATGATCCTGGCTCACTGCAACCTCTGCCTCCCAGGTTCCAGCGATTCTCCTGGCTCAGCCTCCTGAGTAGCTGGGATTACAGGCACCCGCCACCAGGTCTGGCTAATTTTTGTATTTTTAGTAGAAACAAGGTTTCACCATGTTAGCCAGGCTGGTCTCAAACTCCTGACCTCAGGTGATCCTCCTGCCTTGGGCTCCCAAAGTGCTAGGATTACAGGCATGAGCCACAGCACTCAGCTGCATTTCTTAATTTTTATAGACCAGCCTTCATGCATATATAATCTGGAAAAGGTAAACTCTGCCTTTCCCAAACTTAAAAAAATTTACCATATATTATCATTTGTTTTTTGAGGAGGTAAGGGTAAAAGGAGTTGGGGTTAGTTCCAGTTACACTGACTGTGGATGAATGAAACATAAATACATAAACGTGGTCTAACCCTAAAGATTAAAACTAAATAAATATTGATTTACGAAGTGGCTTTACATTAAATGACTACTTTTTTTTTTTTTTTTGAGACAGAGGCTCACTCTGTTGCCTAGGCTGGAGTGCAATCACATGATCTCAGTCCACTGCAAGCTTTGTCTCCCAGGTTCAAGCCATTCTCCTGCCTGAGGTTCCCCAGCAGCGGGGATTACAGGCTCGCACCACCATACCCAGCTAATTTTTAAATTTTTAGTAGAGATGGGGTTTCACCATGTTGGCCAGGCTGGTCTTAAACTGCTGACCTCAGGTGATCCACCCATCTTGGCCTCCCAAAGTGCTGGGATTACAGGTGTGAGCCACAACAAACAGCCCAAACTAACTTAAAGAAAAAAGCAAAGAAGAAGGGCCGTGTCTGCGAGTATGGACGCAACACCGGCACCGAAGGGCGGCAGAGAGAAAAAAAAGCACACAAAAAAAATCTAAAAATCACACGGCCCAAGATACCTCTAATATATACTCCCAAACAGACAAATTGCACAACGTGAAGGTCAACTTAGAATAGACACCACCCAACAGCATGGTCAACGGAATCACGGAATCCCGGCCAAGAAATAAACAGATAAAACACAAAAGCGAAGAAGAAGAAGGAAGGACCACAAAAAACATCAGAAGGCGTAACAAACTCACGACAACCTAAGTGAACAGATAAATGAAAAATACCCCCAGCCAGCACAAAAACACACGGCCACCGTAGAAACAAAAAAAAAAAAAGCTGCCAAACGCAACACAAAAAAAACAGAAAACCTCACAACAACCAGAATCAGGCCCAACAGGTCTACGATCGCACAGACAACAGACGGCACAAAGAAGAAAACTGTCATAAAGGCAAAAAAAATAAAAAAAAAAAAAAACAGGGCCAAATGGCAACGGCAATACCTTTAACAGACCCAAGATACCACCAGACAAAACAACAAACAACGGACCACACTGAAATAAACCGAAAAAAAAAATACAAAAAAAAGGGGAAACGAAAATACCAGATTTGAAAAGAAAAACAGAAGAAAAAAACAGACACCAACCACACTTACCCCCGCTCGATCCACCCTTCCTTTTTTCCCCCTCAAAAGAAAAAAACAGTCAAAACTCACAAGATAAACCACCTCAAATAAAAAAATAAGATCAGTGCAATGAAATTAAACAAAACCATATTTCAAATGTACATATCTACAATGAATATCTACCAATTATTAAATGTGAAAGGGTATTAACTCTAGTGCTACTTAAGTCTCATTTAGAAAATGGTGTTCACTTTCTGTAAATTGTGGGTACATTGTCTTCAGCCTGGCTGATTTTATTTTATTTTGCTGGTTTACTAATTTCTGCTTTGGAGTTTCTCCTTTTCTCTACTGACTGTCAGCTGAACTTCGCTGAGGCTTCTGGGTACTGTGCATTAGGTCAATGAGCTTCATGACAGAGTCGACGCCTTGCAATCCTGGAAC